CTCTCTTCCACAACTGTCCCTCTATTGAACCAAAATCTCCCTGTCCCTTTCTCCTCCACAACTGACCCTCTATTGAACCCAAATCTCCTTGTCCCTCTCTCCTCCAACAACTGTCCCTCTATTGAACCCAAATCTCCTTGTCCCTCTCTCCTCCAACAACTGTCCCTCTAGTGAACCCAAATCCCTCTGTCCCTCTCTCCTTCTCTCCTGCACAACTGCCCCTCTGTTGGACCCAAATTCCTTCATCCCTCTCTCCTCCACAACTGTCCCTCTATTGAACCCAAATCTCCTTGTCCCTCTCTCCTCCACAACTGTCCCTCTATTGAACCCAAATCTCCTTGTCCATCTCTCCTCCACAACTGTCCATCTTGTGGACCCAAATTCCTCTGCACCTCTCTCCTCCACAATTATCAATCTTGTGGACCCAAACCTCTCTATCTCTATCACCTTCTTTACTGTCCCTCTATTAGACCTAAATCCCTCTGTCTCCCTCAACTCTACAACTGTCCCTCTATTGAACATAGATCCCTTTTTCTCCTTCACCTCCACAACTGAACTTTTACTGAAACAAAAACCCTTTTCTACTCTCTCCTCAACAACTGTATGTTTATTGTACCCAAATCCCTCTATTCCTCTCAACTCCATGACAGTCCCACTATTGGAACCAAATTTCTCCATCCTTCTCTCCTCCATAACAGTCCCTCTATTGGACCCAAATCTCCCCATCGTTCTTTCCTCCACAACACTGTCCCTCTATTGAATCCAAATCATCCCTCTGTTGGACCTAAATTCTTCTGTCTCCTTCGCTTTCACAACTGTCCCTCTATTGGACCCAAATCCCACCATCCCTTTCTCTTCAGCAACCATGCCTCTGTCGGACCCAAATTTCCTCTCGCTTTCACAACTGTCCTTCTATTGAACCCAAATTCCTCTGCCCTCCTCTCCTCCACAACTCTGACTTTATTGAACCCAAATGCTTTTATCCCTCTCTCCTCCATGACTGTGCCCCAGCTGAACCCAAATCTCTCTGTCCTTCTTGCCTCCACAACTGTCCCTCTATTAGACCAAAACCCTTTTCTTTCTCATAAATCCAGGGCTGACCTTATTTTGAAAATGCCACCTGAGTGTTGATCAGGTGCTTCCTAGCTGATCCGGTAGCTTTAGTACTTTCAGGTTACTGAACTGAATTAAATGTGACATTCTGACTCGTGCATGCTTGCTCAGGGTCGGTGACTCAAAACGTGGTAAAGGGTAAAAACTGATTTTTTCCAACCACAGGGCAGTGGCCCACTGTGTATTTTGAGTCACCATTGCAATTTTTACCTTGAAGTGTGTGCAAACCTTAACAATGAACCGTGCTCCTCCCATGGATAACTGTAACAGATGAGTTAGCATAGTCACCCTTCAACTGGAGGTGTGCTAAGTGCAGGACCGCAGAAATATTAAAGAAAAAAAAGGAAAATCACTGGCCACTTTATTGGGTACACCTTGCTAGTGCCAAGAAAATTTCCCCCACACCATGACACCACCACCACCAGCCTGAACCGTTGATACAAGGCAGGATGGATCCATGCTTTCATGTTGTTTATAACCAGTCTGCCCATTCTCCTGACATCAACAAGGGATTTTCGTTCACACAACTATCGCTCACTGGATATTTTCTTTTTTTCGGACCATTCTCTGTAAACCCTAGAGATGGTTGTCTGTGAAAATCTCAGTAGATCCAGTTTTTGAAATACTCAGACCCAGCCCATCTGGCACCAACAACCATGCTATTTTCATAGTCACTTAATTCCCCTTTCTTCCTCATTCTGACGCTCGGTTTGAACGTTAGCAAGTTGTCTTCACCACATCTAGATGCCTAAATGCATTGAGTTGCTGCCATGTGATTGGCTGATTAGCAATTTGTGTTAACAAGCAATTGAACAGGTGGCCAGTGAGTGTATTATGCTTTTTGTCAGATAAAATAAAATATATACAAAACACAATGCATTCTCTGTAAGTTCACTTTGCCTGTTCATTTCCTGTACCCAATCATTAATGTAACTGCTCGAAAATGTGTTTTCTTTTTTTAAGACTGGAGGTTCTCCGTACAATAAAAAATACATTATGTGAATGTCACAAAGTCTGATTTATTTGTTTGGTTTATTTGCTAGACATTCTAGTGGAGCATGTTCTTCGTGAAATTCTTCAGATGCTGTTTTCTGCTTTATCCATATTTTATCACGCTGGGAACATGGTGGATTTTGTCTCTTTGTCAATGCATGCTTCAGCTCGGTGATTTGTAGTTATCCATGGTGCCCCAGAATCCTTCACAGACTTATTTATAAAGGTCAGTAAAGCAATGGATGTTCATTTGCCACTTTTTGCTACACAATTTCTCCAACGATTTACCTAAGAAGACCCATACAGCATAAGGCAGAAATGATGAAAAAATGATATGTGTATGAAGTGCAGACCCCAAGCTGGTCCTTCTGTTTTGTTCCAGGTTCTGTTCCCTACTGAGTGCACAGCAGAAAGGAGCACAGCAGTTTTGCAGTCTCTCAATACAATAACCAGACAGCAAATGTCTTTTTGAAGTGTAATGCTGTTTAAACTTGGTTGGGGTGTAGGGTGCACCATGGGATACTCAAAATTTAGTGCAAACTGAAACAGAGGACACTCTCTAGTAGTAGCTAAAATCTTTAGGATGGACTTCTTATTGTAAGAGATTGTAGACATACAGCTTAGGAGACTCCGATTATAGAAGCAGCCCTAAGCCAGCAACTCTGGAACATTCTCTCCCAGAATTAAGCAGCAACAGGTCTCTAGGATCTATCACTCTCTCAGGCCTCTAGTCACTGTGTCCCTGTGTACATTGATGTTTCCTTCCAGCACTAGCCAGACCCTGTACCGTGAGCTTCCAGGACAGATCCTGAGCAGAGTTTCTCCAAACTATTCTCAGCCGATTAGAAATAGGTCCCCCAGGACTCCCTGGGCTGGGGCCTTGATGAAAGTTCTGCAGTCTTCTGCCCAGAAGGGCAGCAGCCCCTCAGGCTGGGTCTTCTCCTTCATGACAAGGACCCTGCTGTTCCAGGTCCCAGACTATTTATACACATCTCAGATTCCTGTTGGACATCCCCTTGACCAGAGATTGGCTGAGGCTTTATGAATATTCAGTCCAGGATCTACCTCTCCTAACCCACTATATTCTAGAACTTACTAGAAGACACGGGGAAGTAGCTGATCCTGCAATCAGCAGGACTCAGAACACCCAAAAGCAATCAAATTCTGTTCCACAGGCTACAGAGGAGCCAAAAGCTAAATATCTACTGTAATTCTACTAGCTAGCTGACTAGGCAATTCCTACATGTATAATCAAAACTACTGAATTAAAAATATTACTTGGAGAAAACACTATATAGATGTTCTTCATCTGTGGATAATTGGGTGATTACAGAATCCCATCACAATTTTTGCAAAGATCTATACTTTATGGCAGTGGTTCTCAACATTATTGAGACCAGGGCCTAGTAAGTTATTCCAAAACCTTCCATGCTCACCCCCCATGGAAGGCTCTGGATATGGCTGGGTGTCATTGAGGGGGTTGAGGACTCTAGAAGGGTTGGGTGATTCTGCAGTGAATTTGGTTTCCCTATAGGGGATGAGCTTTCTGGAGAGATCTGGGAGAAATTGTGGGAAATGGGTTCTCTGGAGGGGGCTGGGCATCTCTACAGGAGGATAGGGGGTTTGCAGGGTAATGTAGGAGATTGAAAGGCACTGCAGGAGCTAGGGGGCACTTTGGGAGGCAATATGAGGGAGCCGAGTCTCTGCAGAAAGCTAGGGGACACTTCTGGGGGATGGGGGGCACTGTAGGAGGTTGGCAGCTACTATGGGGACTGAGCTACCTTAGGGGGAAACTGTGAAAGATTGAGGAGCACTATGGGACACTATGGGAGCTGGAAGTCACCGTGAAAAGTTACAGGACCTGCAGCTAACTGAAAGCTCATTAGGGGGGAGGGTGTGGCTCAGCAGTGGGCCACGACCCTCTAGTTAAGAACCTTTGTTATATGGTCAAAAGTTATACTGTTTTGGTGTATTTAGTTATGGATACTGTTGATGCTCCAGCATATGAAGTCATTTTAAACAAATTGTGTGCTTTCAACCTCATGGTAACAGTTTGGGGAAGACCCGTTTCTGTTCCACAGAGAATGTGCCTTTGTATACAAAGCCAACTCAATAAAGACATGGTTTGGCCATTTTCGTGAGAAGGAACTTGAGTGTGGTCTATACAGAACACCTTTGGACTGAACTGGAACAGTGATTGAGGGCCAGGTCTTCTCATCCAACATTGGTACTGAACCTCATATGGGAACTTTTCACAGACACACTCCAAAATCTTGTGGAAAGTCTTCTCAAAAGAGTTGAGGCTGTTACTGCAAAGAGAGGTCAACTCCATAATGGGATATCTAACAAGCTTATATATACATTATATTGCCAAAAGTATTGGGGCGCCTGCCTTTACACTCACATGAACTTTAATGGCATCCCAGTCTTAGTCCGTAGGGTTCAATATTGAGTTGACCCACCCTTTGTAGCCACAACAGCTTCAGCTCTTCTGGGAAGGCTGTCCACAAGGTTAAGGACTGTGTCTATGGGAATGTTTGACCATTCTTCCAAAACTCGCCCATCCATGCCTTTATGGACCTTGTCATGTCATATTATGTTGGAACAGAAGTAGACCATCCCCAAACTGTTCCCACAAAGTTGGGAGCATGAAATTGTCCAAAACGTCTTGGTATGCTGACGCCTTAAGAGTTCCCTTCACTGGAACTAACGGGTCAAGCCCAATCCCTGAAAAACAACCCCACACCATAGCCCCCCTCCACCAAACTTTACACTTGGCACAATGCAGTCAGGCAAGTACCATTCTCCTGGCAACCACCAAAACGAGACAGGTCCATCAGATTGCCAGACAGAGAAGCATGATTCGTCACTCCAGAGAACACATCTCCACTGCTCTAGAGTCCAGTGGCGGCATTCTTTATACTACTGCATCTGATGCTTTGCATTGCACTTGGTGATGTAAGGCTTGGATGCAGCTGCTCGGCCATGGAAACCCATTCCATGAAGATCTCTACACACTGTTGTGCTAATCTGAAGGCCACATGAAGTTTGAAGGTCTTTAGCTATTGACTCTGCAGACAGTTGACGACTTCTGTGCACTTCAGCATGCACTGACCCCGCTCTGTCATTTTACGTGGCCTACCCCTTGGTGGCTGAGTTGCTGTTTTCCCAGCTTCCACTTTGTTATAATACCACTAACAGTTGATCGTGGAATATGTAGTAGCAAGGACATTTCATGGATGGACCTATTGCACAGGTGGCAACTTATCACGGGACCACGCTTGAATTCACTGAGCTCCTGAGAGTGACCCATTCTATCACAAATGTTTGTAGAAGCAGTCTGCATGCCTAGATGTTTGATTTTATACACCTGTGGCCATGGAGGTGATTGAAACACCTGAATCCAATGATTTGGAGGGGTGTCTCAAAATTTTTGTAACGTAGTGTATGTAATGGTTAGGTATCCACAGACCTTTGGCTATTTATAGGTATAGTCAAAAAGCAGCAATACGGACAGGGTACTGCTTTAACGCATTTGGAAATCACAGCAATAGAAGCCCGAAGTCTTTGCCCCCCCTCCCCTTCAAAAGAAAGGGGGAGCTCTTAAAAAAAATAGCCAGGAGGACAGTGTAGTCATGTGGCTTTTCAAAGTCATGTGAACTGCACTCCTCCAATTACAGAGTCCTCTGTGCTAGGTTAAGCACAAAGAACTCTGTAGCATACTGCAGCCCGGATTTTATGAATTGGAAGACCATGGTATGTATGTATTCATTTACATACATAAAATGTATGATATATACATGAGAGATAGAAGATTGAACATAATCTTTGATAAGCTGCAGGTAGTGAGTCAAGCTTATACAAGGGTAAGGATTTTCATTTGCAGCAACTAGGCAGAACAGCACAGGACAGGGGCGGACTGACAACTCATGGGGCCCCCGGGCAATAGGGGATCATGGGGCCTCTGTGTCCTTGCCCAAACTCAAAAAAGCCTGTGAAAAAGGTACCAGGGGCATCTCATGGGGCCCCCTACTGACCCCGGGCCCTCGGGCAGTGCGAGTTTCCATATGGTCAGTCCACCTCTGGCACAGGAGCAAAAGAAAGGTAGGTATAAGCCTCTTTGGCTTTAAAATAAAACAGATAAGGTAATGCCCTATCCTCATTCCTTCAACCCCCCAAATTATTTTAGTGAAAACATGTATGATGAAGTGAAGCAGAGCTGGATCGGTGAGCCTGCAGGGGTATCACCAGAGATCAGGTTAGTATAGCTTCCAAAATTGCTCTTTTAATCTGCTTATATATGGCCGTTTAGCCCATCAACATCAAGTCCTGGCATTTTTGGACACCCAGGAGGCACAGTTGCAGCATCCAGCCAAAATCTATGAGAGCCTGAAATATGTGGCAGCTGGATACTGTGCTGATTGGTACTCCCATTTAGGGCTGTAGGGACCTATGTCAAAATGAAGTAGCGCTTACGCCCTGCATGCTAGTACCATGTATTTCAGCAAATGCTTTTTAGCCGGTCAAAGATATTGACAGGCTGGTGGCAGCTGGGCTGGACACTGTACCTGCACCTCCCACCTGACAATGCTGGTAATTGATACTGATGGGCCAAGTTTCCCATGTGCATGTAGTCTTTTTTTATCTACTACTGGGGAATGAGTTTTCTATATTTTTCCCAAACTTGAATTAGGCTTGGAATTTGAAGGACCCTGTCAGGGTGGCAACCTGCTGATCTTGGAATGAAAAAGAGTATGGTGAAGTTTAGTGAAAAGTGAAATGAACACGCGAAATTCAAACCAGGCAAATTGTAATTGCAACTAGAAAAGCTACAATTTCTGGGGAAATTGTGTGAAGTGTTCTTGCCTCCACCAGTAGTCTACAACTGGAGTTGGTGGAATAACTGGGTGGAGTGTCAGGAATGGACTCAGCACTGGTGGTGGGACTCACCTGCCGTGTGGGCTGCAGTACCAGGGCTGACCAGCGGGTGCTCTCAGCAGCCAGAAGCTCACTCCTGTAGTCAGCCAACACCTGGGGCTGATTGCAGGAGGTGTATTTAAGGAATGACCAGGCCTGTGATCTGGGCCTTGGTGTATGTTTCCCATGAGCCCCTGTACCTGGTATCCTGTGTTCCTGCCTTGTTGCTGACCCTGCTTGATCCTGACCTCTGCTGACCGTCTCCTGTTGAACCCCTGGCTTGCCTGACCATCCTTCTGCCTGATCCTCGGTACCGCACTGCCCGCTACCTGCTGAACCTGGCTTGTGACCCCGACCATTCTCTGCTTGCTCCTCCTGTACCACGCTGCCCGCACGATACCGACCCGGCCTGTCTGACTACGCTTACTTCACCCGACGATCCATCCATCCCGCATGGATCACCTCTAGTAAGTCTACCTGCCTCTTCCCATCAGACTCCGTTCCTGCACTCCCCTGCCAGTACTCTCTACCACAGCTGGACGCACTAAGGGGTCGTGACCTGGTTCCAGTCTGCACCAAGTCCATCCCCACCATCAGGGGCCCTGGTGAATAGCAGGCTGGGACTTAGACCCCGCGCCCTGAGGAAATCCGTGCTGTAGGCTCGGCCTGCCTGACCGCTCCACCTCTCCAGCCCTGACTGCACTGGTACCTATTCGTTTAAGGTTTATTGCACCTGGTTGTACATATTTATGTAAGTGTTGAGTTTGATTGTTTGCACTGCGTTTATGTTTGTGTTGTCTTTAATAAATTATATTGTGTTACACGCTATACCTGAAGTCTGTGTTTCCCTGTGTCGGTCCACACACCTCTGGTCATACCTGGAGTCCTGACATGGAGTGGCTTGTCACTCTGCTGCCTGCTCACACACCTGGGTTCCTATGGCAACTCACTCTACAGCAAGGGCAGAGAAGAGCGGTTAAAAACAAACTGCTCCAACTTGCTCACTTCACTGGCGGTTGCCATCTTCAAACGGTTGTAGTTTAAAAAGTATAAATCCTTCCCCGAAGAGCTTTATATTATGAGAATCACAAGACCCAGACCTACAGTTTGATGCATAGTATGTCTCTGAAATATTAAAAATGAAGGCACAGTCGCAGTTTAGAAATTGCCCTTCAAATTTGAGGTGGCTAGAGTGGAGTTTCAATGAATGTCAATGGGCGGCGTTAGTTGCAAACAAATGGTCATAATGTGAAAACTATGGCTTAGCTGTGGACATTTTTAGTGGCAGCAGGGATAGCTGAACGTTTTGATATAAGATATGTGTAGATGGGCTTGAAAATGAGGGAGTGATGGCAGTTTAGAAATCATGTCCTGATTTTTCAGCTCACATTCTAGTTTTGAACATTCCGCCATTCATTCCTATGGGACCAATTTCGCCACAAACACGCCGATATTTCGTGAACCATTCGGCGAAACATTCCACAAAGTAATAGCACACCAATCGGGAACAATCCGCACCAGGGGCGGACTGACCATTTGGAAACTCGGGCACTGCCCGAGGGCCCGGGGTCAGTAGGGGGCCCCATGAGATGCCCCTGGTACCTTTTTCACAGGCTTTTTTGAGTTTGGGCAAGGACACAGGGGCCCCATGATCCCCTATTGCCCGGGGGCCCCATGAGTTGTCAGTCCGCCCCTGATCCACACGTTTCGGTATATTACTGTCTATGTAGTGTAAAAACTGTGGGAGGAGTTAGGGTGGTAAATTTGGCTATAATAATAAGAATATATGTGTGAGATAACAGTAAGTGGTCTTGCCATGCAAGAACACTTAATTATTTGTCTGAATATACAAACTTTTTCAAGGAATCCTTTGAGGTGAAATGGTTCAGAAAGGTTCAGTCCACTGCAGAAAAAGTCAGCACTTGGGTTGGGTCAGAAAAATGTGGTCTTCCTTTATTAGATCACATGAATACAGCTGTAAAACTGTGCAGCACAGTAGCTAAATGGTTAGCACTTCCACCTAACAGTACTAGGGTTGTTGGTTCAAATCCCAACCATGGCACCACCTGCCTGGAGTTTGCATGTTCTCCCTGTGCCTGCAGGGATTTCCTCTGGGTACTTTGGTTTCCTCCCACACTCCAAAGACATGCTGGTAGGTAAATTGGTCCTAGTCTGTGTGTGTATGAATGTGAGTTAGGGACCTTAGATTGTACACCCCTTGAGGGTTAGAGACTGATATGAATGTACAATATATATGTAAAGTGCTGCATAAATTGACGGTGCTATAGAAAGTACCTGAAATAAATAATAATAAAACAGCCAATTTGTTTCAGCCCTTGAGCCATGATTAAGGTTTACTGTAACTGCAAAATACATTGAATCTTGTACAGCTGTATTCGTGTGATTTAAAGACCTCATTTTTATGACCCACCAGCATGTCAACTTTTTCAGCAGTAGATTGTGTTGTGAGAGGTATCAGGGGCCTCATAGTCTGATCACCGGGTTTGAAGCCATGGATTGAGGAGGTGGCAGCGCACATTTTTTGGTTGAGAAAGGTTGCTCTAGTCCATAGAAGCCATGGTTGTCATCCACTGCACTGGTGCTGACCAACAAGCCTGAAACAGCTGTATGCAGTCTGGAGTAAATGGCTCTATAAGTATATAGAGCAGGGGCAGACTGACCATTTGGAAATTTGGGCACTGCCCGAGGGCCCAGGGTCAGTAGGGGGCCCCATGAGATGCCCCTGGTACCTTTTTCATAGACTTTTTTGAGTTTGGGCAAGGACACAGAGGCCCCATGATCCCCTATTGCCCGAGGGCCCCATGAGTTGTCAGTCCACCCCTGATATAGAGTACATGCACTGTGCTTTTTAATATTCATCCAGGTCCCAGCTTTGCTAGCTGGAGGGCCTATTCTATTGAACTCTGCTGGAGCCTATTGAGGGACTTTATTTGTTGCTCTGGTCTGAAGACTTCAGAGGAGAGATCTCTGGAATGGCCATTGAAGCATAAAGGAATAATTTACATGACTCCACCCACTGTCCTGAAATGAGGAATATTCCTCTTATTTTTGGGGTATGTGATGCAATGATTACCTTTTGTTCTAAAGCTTAAATGTGCTATATACAAATACACTGAAAAAAAAAAAAGATGTAGAGTGATGTATTTCATTAAACTCAAAGTGTGGACATCTGGTTATCAATGTAAAACTTATTGCATATATTTTCCTACATGGTTCATGGTAACCATGAACAGACCCATAAATATATCTCTAATACACAAATGAAAAAACAGTAGATGCTGAAAAATTTGAAAAAAAAAAACAGTTTAATAGGTTCTCTGCAACAGTGTGCTATGGATAAGCAAACATCTCAAAGATCAGTTCATTAAACACTCGACGTGCTGGCTGACATGTTTATTGGAAACGCCTGTTCCTGGAAACTTTGTTCTATCCAAAAATCTTAACATACAACATTTCTTGGTGTATCGGATGCTAACTATATAATGCTGACTATATGAGAGTATAAAAAAATACAGTGAGCGCTCCAATGGTCAGCAGCTGAACATTCAAGGAAAACACATAAAAGTCCCAAAAATATATATATAAAAAGAAAATGCAGCGCTGTGTGATGTTACTATATTGCGGGCAGATATAAATAATAAGTGAAACCAAAGCAAATGAATAAATGAATAAATAAATCAATAAATAAATAAATCACAGTCCAGTAATGGTGCTCGCTGATTCCCAGTGCAAAAGTTAGAAATGCGCACTAACCAGAAACGTATTAATAATACACATATCATATCATGGAGATTCCCCTCTCTATCATGGAGATTCCCCTAGATAGTAGAGATGAAGCGCCCTCGTGTGGCGAAATGGAGGTCCAGCAGGTCACAGAAATCCTTACAGAAGTGTGTGAAGTGGAAAATTCCTCCTCTCAAAGGCTGGTGCAGGGATCAATCTGGGTCTGCAGAAGCTGAAAAGGCTCATCGCAGAAGACACAGGAAAGAACCCATAGTGTAGTAGGATGATGAAAATGATTTTATTCAAGAAAAACAGGAGTGTTCAGGAAAAACTCACTATGGTGCCAGGTTTAATCAAATGACTGACCCTTTAAGATTAAATATGGCCACCGGGCCTCCACGTGGCACCGGCGGCGTAGTGTCAATGGCGTCCTGGGCTCCAGCTGACGCGTTTTGTGCGCACACACTTCTTCAGAGGTAGAGCTGAGGAATCTCCATGATATCATCCACATGCGTATTATTAATACGTTTCTGGTTAGTGCGCATTTCTAACTTTTGCACTGGGAATCAGCGAGCACCATTACTGGACTGTGATTTATTTATTGATTGATTTATTTATTCATTTATTCATTTGCTTTGGTTTCATTTATTATTTATATCTGCCCGCAATATAGTAACATCACACAGCGCTGCATTTTCTTTATATATAATGCTGACTATATACCCATTTCAGAGTTTAATGCTGAGCGTTCTCTTTGTCGCTAACAGAGAAGCAGCAGCCCAGGACCACAACTAGGTCCTACTACACTGTACCTTCATTGGGTATAAGTCCTCTGGAAGGAAGATTCATTCCACTGTGTATTCACCAATACCAAGCCATGCTTTCATTGGTCCAGTGCTACTACATGCACATAAAAATGTGAATACAGACAGCAATAAAAACCTAGAAAATGTATCAGTGAGGTGCTAGATTTGACTTTTCAGTGATTGTGGTTGAAAACAGTCATATACATTCATCCTGGGACAATGGCTCTGGTGAGGCTTCCCTTAGCATAACCAGGGCACCCTTTAGCAAGGAGACCCAGAGTTTGAAATCCAGGTATAGAAAACATCTAATGAGAGTGCCAAACCAAGGAACTATTAGTCCAAAAATCATAAATATTGGTGCGATTCATACAAGAAGATAAAGTATCCAATAAGGTTTCGTATCTCAAAGATCTCCTTTTTTTCAAGGCTACAAAGCAAATACAAGGGTGTAAGAAGAAATCAGAGCTCTTTGAGCCCCCAAAATGTGTTAGCTGTTGTAGCACCCTCCTAGATAGGTGCTAGATTAGGTAAATCGAATTCTTGTCTCTCCTGTAATCAGTGGAGCTGCCTGTTCTTGCTTTGGTCTGCTCTGAGTTTCACATGCTGTGAGCTGACTGCGTCCCCCTGTCTTCTGGATGATTCTGGAAGATATAGGGTTGGGAGAGACAAATTCACAGTATGCATATTTATGTGGTCCCAGGCAATGACTGGGAGAGAGCCCAGAAGGTGGCTGGGAGGGAACAGAAATAGCTTGAAACCTGGAGCAGAAGGGTTCTTTTCCAGGAGGAGGAGATCCCAGCCTGAAGGATTGCTGCCCTTCTGGGCAGTCCAGCTGTGTTTTTTAATGTTCATCGAGGTCCCAGCTTTGCTAGCTGGAGGGCCTATTCTACTGAACTCTGCTGGAGCTGACTGAGGGACTTCATTTGTTGCTCTGGTCTGAAGACTTCATAGGAGAGATCTCTGGAAGATAATGGAAGGAGGCATCTAATTATCCAAGCGAGTACAGACTGGTGTGAGAGATCCCAGTGACTGTGTGCTGCTGCTATCCATCTTGCATTAGAATCTGAATACTTAAAGAGGACATTGTTCCTGGCATCCCAATACAGATCAGCCCATCATTTGCTGCTGCAAGCACTATGCTTAGAATCTTTAGGAGGAAGATAGATGTCCTTAAGTTACTACTTTACATTGCTGGAGCATCCCGTGGTCAACCTGCACCCTTCCAAGTTCCCGTTTTTCAATAAAGCATCAAAAAGAATATATCTAGACTGATATTGAGCCGAAGGTGTGACTGAAATTGGGTGCCTGGCTGCTAGAGCACCTACAGGGAAAAGAACCTTGGGACCAAATCAAAAAGCCATTTAGTGGGTGTATTCCCCTTCAACACCAATATTAATGATTTTTTTGGAATCTTAGTTCCAAGGCATGACACTCTTGTTGGATTTTTTTCTATACCAGCAAGAAGTATCTGACAGATATTCTAATCTCTCACCACTCACCCTTCAGAACTTAAAATGTTGACAGTATAGAACAGAGGGAAAGGGGAAATTTTACATTAACATATCAAAGAAAAATTCCTTGTAAAGTTCAGTCTGGGTCACTCATATTAGATCAACATTCCACACCTTCCTATTTTCAAAAGTTAGCTAATAGCTTGTTCCACAAGAATTCTGGAATACTGCTGATTGAATGTATGATAAGGGACATCTAGCACAAAGACTGATTTCTAGATACATAAAATAAACTATTCTTTGACATGAGATTAGGAAAGCCTAGTACAAATGTCTGTTTTGGTTGATGAATTATTTTAAATGTTTATTAAGACCATCACATGGAGCCATCACATTATGGGGAAAAGCCCTCCCTTCATCACAGCTTGAACAAATGGGTCATAGTTAAATTTGAAGAGTTGACTAGAAAGTCTGAGTTAAAGCTAAAATGGTCTGATTGCTAAAAGATTCAAGCAGCATTGAGGGAAGCCATGGTCCAGATTTACCTACGAACCATTTGTTCAAGCCTTGAAGATGAGGCAGGCCTTTCCCCCAAAACGTGTTGGCTATATCTGATCTTCTTAATCAATACATATTTTAAAGGAAACACCAAACAAGATGGAAGTTCATGCTAGGAGCTGCTAACCCCAAGCCTAAGAATAGGTCATCCAATGAACCATTTGTCTACCAGGATCAGAAAGGCAGTAGTCTAGGTTCGTAACACCGTCCCCCATAATTCCACCACAGGTCAACCTCCTTAATTATTTCTTTATATGTCCATTAAAATTAATTCTGATTTTCTTCAATGCAGCACATTTACCAGAATGTGTTGATGGGGTGAATGTTCAATGAACTGATCCTTGGGGTTCCATGTATTGCCAAACATGTGCTTTGACATATAACTCGGTATTAGAACTGTAATCATGTTTTGTTGTGCTTTGGTGATGCAGTGTTGGATTGATTATTGGCTGAAGTTATCATCGGGTACTGTTTTACTATTTCTCAGTAGAAGACTTTTTCCAGATAAGCATTGAGGAACATCCCTGTTGGGTCAAGCTTCTCTCTTAAGTTTTTGAATTTGGTGAATTCAGGATACATCTTCTCGAAGTCTTTACGGGTACAAGTATGAGCCTAAAACAAGAAACAAGAAAACAGACACAGATTATACACTTTATGGCTAAAAACAAACAATTTGTGGATCTGCACTAATGTTTTCTCATGTAATGTCAATGAAAAATGCTTTGGTAAAAACACATGAAACTGCACACCTGAAAATGCATGTTAGCCTCTTTCCAGCGACCTTCCAATGGCCCTTTAAGTGAGTCCTTCAGATCTCCTATACCTGTGGCTATGTCCATGGGGTCTCCGTGCTGCGGATTTGGATATGCCTTTGGGGCACTGACCTCTAGGGAGGGAGTCAGTGCATGTCCCCTTGCTAACCAGGAGACCCATCCCCCATACCCGGTACCACTCTCTGCTGTGTGGCTGCTATTGCATTCCCACCAGTCCCTGGTTACCCATGGCAACTGCACACTTCCTGCCAACTCCTCTGCCGAATGAACCTCTTATAGTGGCCCTCCAGTTCTTCTTCTTCACCCCTGTGTATAATTAACAAGTCCTGTTCTTTTGGATACACCATATACCTTCCTGGAGTAACTTTAGACCAGGCATAACATGGTTAATAACTTTTACTGAAGTATAGCAGTTCAGTACAACAATGGACAACAGAACAGTCCTTCCCTAACTTACTAAGCACGGCTGCCCAGCTCACACCTTAGCAGGAAAGAGTCCCTTTAGTCCTATAAGGCAGTGTTCTGGTCCCAGGTAAGGCATCCCTTAGGGGCAACCCAGAGGCAAGGGTCACCGGTGACATCTTGCAGCAGTCTTCCCTCCAGTCCCATGGGGTGAGCAGCTCTCTGCGGGCCATGGGTACACCCTGTAAGGACCTGCTTGCAAACCACTGACAATGATTGTCTTTTAGCTATCTGTAAGGGGAATTCTTCCCATTGGTCACAATCATGGGGAGCATTCCTTCTAATAACTAGTAGATATACAGTACTTATTATTAGCAGGTGGTTCCATGAGCCCAGAAATTTATTTTAAGGACCTCCCCATGAAAAAAAGGCTATAGCTTGTCAATCAGCATCTAGCCGCACTGCTCTCTAAATTGGCAGCCCTGCCTCTGTGACTGGAACTTTCCCACTGTGAACTGCAGTGTCTGGTAGGAGGAGCACGTGAGACACAAGCAAAGGAGGAGACACTGGGGTTGATTTACTAAAGGCAAATAGAGTGTGCATGGGCATTTTGGTATATAATGGGGAGCTCTGCTGACTTCCATCATCCAATCGTGTGCAAGCACAGGATGTTGTTTTTTTTTCTTTGTCTTGCATGTGGTTGGGTATTGTTTGCAAAGCGATGCTTCACCTCATTTACTAAGCTCTGGAGAAAACACCCTTGCAGAGTGCCCAGTCTATTTGCCTGTAGTAGCAGAGAGTGCCCAGTCTATTTGCCTGTAGTAGTAGAGTGCACAGTCTATTTGCCTTTAGTAAATCAACTCCTAAGTGTCGAGGTGTGGAAAATGTGATAAATCACAGCTCACATGTAAATCCTTGTATTACCTTAGCCCAGTGTGGTCGTCCTCCAACACGTTTCATAATATTCTCATATTCCAGCCAGTATTCTCCATGCGGGACAGATCTTTTCCATATGGCCTAAGAAAAAGCTTTTTTTAAAGGATGTCTATAGTTCTATTTTTTTTTCCATTTTTACTTTTTCAGATATACAGTATGTGATCATGATATCAGGCAAAAGCAGAGCTGCACAGCACCTATTGCTTTAATGCTTTGTATACAGCCACCACCCCCCCCCCCCCCCCCCCCATACTGGCTATTGCCTTAATGCTTTGCATTCCCCCCTGTCAAGATCGCGGCATCAGACCCCAGACCTTCTCACCAAACTCGTGACCAAAGGGCTAGCTGATCTACAACCGACGTCCAATCCTTGTGAGGTACATTCCGCCTTCAAATCACCTTTGCTCATTTTCTCGTATTCTGCTGCACCAGGCATGATTGCAAGCAAAGATAGAATAGAAAGTAGGAAAAGGAAGGAGCTGTTGCTATATGTCTCTCTCTCTATATATATATAGATAAAAAATATGCACCACTTGTTTCTAAGGACTGTTTCCACAAAGGTTACAATCCTTCAGTGCAGAGCCAATTTTTTAACACTGCACTGAAGCTCTTAATGCAACTATCCCATGTACGCTGCCAACAATATGTCACGATCGCGGCGTCAGACCCCAGACCTTCTCACCAAACTCGTGACCGAAGGGCTAGCCGATCTACAACCGCGATGTGACGTGCGTAACAATGCCACACCCAGCTGCACCCTGCACAATGATTTTCCAGCTAATGGATACCGATCGATGTGCCAGCAACCTGAATCGATTGTTACTGTGTCAGGTTAATTACGCAATTAACCCTTCACACTGCCACCACCTCCTTTTTGATCAGAGAAAGAGGAAACTTTGCGTTCAGCTATAACACTATAATGGTTGATAAAATCGTCTGTATAAAACGGTCCACAGGCCGGTTATACAGAGGTTCAAAGAAACACAGTAGCGTTCTCTTTAAAGGCAGGGATTCGTAAATTGCATCTAAGAGCTATAGAAACAGTTCAACACTTTCAGAAAGAAAGATTTATTACTAAGAGGTCAAACGGGTGCAATAAAAAATATTTACAGAAAAAGATGTAACGAGGATATATATATATATAAACATACAGAAAAAGATGTAACTAAGATATATATATATATATATATATATAAAACATACAGAGATTAGCAGCACAGCAAAGAGATATCAGGGAGAGGTTAAAGGGTTAAGATACTTGCCATTAAGCCTTGGATGTAAGCAGACCAAGTTTCTGAGCAGAAGGACTTTGATCTCCCTATGTTACGATGGAAAAAATGGGAGATGTCTTCAACTCCTCTTCTTAGGCCTGACAGCCTGTTTTAAAGTCCCCAGCAGGGGGGTGGCTATGCAGTCAAAGGCCAATCTCCACTTAGGGCATGGAGAAAAATATCTTCCATAACTCATATTTGCCTATAACTTTCCACCTGCGCAAGTGACAGTCCACCCGCTGGTAGATTATTATGCAGACAAGGCTGAGGATTGATTAGATATGAATTATGAAATTATATACTGCAAGGTTCACGAGATCTATGCTTCTGCTTCCCTGTGTGTCCGAGACAAGGTGAGTGACCCACCAAAATGTTCGGCTCCTCTTAGCCCATCTGGCGAGATGCTCATTTTTTATGTAAGTCTCTCATATTCCAAGATATGAGACATAGGGGAAAAATGGATTTGAGAAGAGTTTATCTGATTCTATCACCTACGCTGAGCTAGGTTTATTAGCTCGGAATCTCTTTCAACTTCTGGGAAAGTTTGCCTTATCTCTCCTGAGGTGCGAAATGGCACAGGTTCTTGGGACAGTGCCCCACCACGTGGCTCCCTGCTGGGATCTGGCCTGTGACACTTTTAACACACACACACATCTGTCATTGTGCCTCTCAGGAAGGGAGGGGGAAGGAGAATGAGGGAATACCATGGCTACTCTTAACAAAATGGCAGACTGCATCAGTCTCTTGTGCGCACGTTTGCGACCCCCCCCCCCCCTCTTACTGGCTATTGCCTTAATGCTTTGCATATATCCCCCCCCCTTACTGGCTATTGCCTTAATGCTTTGCATAAATTCCCCCACCCTTACTGGCTATTGCCTAAATGCTTTGCATATTCCCACCCCCTTACTGGCTATTGCCTTAATGCTTTGCATATCCCCCCCCCTCACTGGCTATTGCCTTAATTAAAAGTGTGCTCAACACCCTTTAAAACATGAGCATTCTGGCAGTGGTTTGAAATCCTGCCTGGCAGCACTGGGGTTCCTGATTCAAGCTGTGTCCAAGATACTACCTGCATGGTGTACTTGTGTGGTTTACGTCACCATTCCAAAGACATTCTGGTGGGTTAGCGGTCTTCTGTCTAAATTGGCTCCAATGTGGGTCTAAAAATCTAATGGCGGAATTGCGAAAATGCACCCTTCTGTTCACTACATTGTTTCCGGCGTTGCGGCCAGATGGGGACTGTGTACCACATCTGGTGGCAGTGTCCGATGGCGACTAGATTTCGGATCCGCCTGTTTCATTTATTCAGTTCAGTGACGGGTGTGAACATTCGTAGATCCCCGGAGATGGGCCTTTTTTATAAAATTTTCTGAGTATGTCCCCAGAAAGTCACAAAAATTAATAACTTATATGCTGTTGGCGGCTAGCATTACTAGCTAAGTTTTGGAAACAGCCAGTAATTCCACTTGACTACGTCAAGAAAAAGCTCAACTGGATTATGGTTAATGACATACTCACCTGTATCCTCCGTAACAATAATAAAAAGTCTGATATCCTATGGAACCCATGGATTCGGTATATTTCCGTTCCTTGATGAGCCCTGGTTTGACCCTCCTTCCTTCTACATCTATTACTCTATTATCTCTACCCTTCTCCTTCTTTCTTTTTCTACTATATGTGATTGGTCATACCTTGTACGATGCTCTTAATGCCTTAGATGACAATGACTTTGTAGTTTCAAACTAGTGACGAGTGGAGGGAAGAGGTAGGAGACCTACCTCTCCCCTCCCGGTTCCCCTCCCTTTTCCTAATCTCACCACTGTGTTAGTTTTCTACATTTTGATACGTTATTGTTGTGGATTTTTTTTAGATTTGGTTTGCCTTCTTCCCATTCTAGGGTGCTCCAGTCTTCAGTCACCTGATTCGCATTACTAAGCACCCTTTTCTTTAGTTTTGGATGGTGTTTCTGACCGTGTGTAAGTGATGTACTCTGCTTTTGGGTAGGGATTAAGCATCGCCTCTAGAGTTTTATGTTCACCCCATGTTCTCTTTATCACATTGAGACTACTTACTATGTTACAACTTTTGTTCAACTGTTGCCTCTGTAAATTTATAAAAAATCTTTTTCAATAAATAACATCGAAATATAAAAATCTAATGGATGCACCCTGGTAGCGCTTGTAATATACAATACAATTGTGAGCTGTCAGCAGTTTCTATTTGGAGTTGTTATCTTAGACTGTTTATATAGCTGATTTGTAAGCATTGGACATCTATACGTCTAAATATCTCCACCCTTCCCCTGTTTTGGGGGGATCTTTTGAACATATTCAATGAATTTTTGGCTTACAGATTTCACACTGGGCATCTGCTCCTGGAGAAGTAAGAGTATGGTCACGAAATGCGTCGAGCTAAAGAATGTGCCCATTATTATGTTTTGTTACAAATTTGGAAAAGTGGAGTACTGTATATACATGTATTATGTGAAAATGATGTACTGTATATTGCATGCCAATATATGGTAGTATTTACAAATCAGCCTTCTTTTTACAAACCTTCTTTTATCACGTAGAAGATTTTCATTTATTGTGCAATAAATATTTTTAGGCAAATGTTGTACAGGCGTACCTCAGCTTACGAACGGCTTGGTTAACGTAATTTTTGGTTTCCGAATGAAAATCCATTGAAAATAATGCCTCGGTTTACAAATTGTTTTTTGCAATACAAATGGATTCATTGGTTTTCACTGCATTTACAAATAAATTTTTAATCATGTCCCTGTACAGTATTTATGCCTTTAAAGTGCACTTTCTAAAGAGAGTTTTGAACAGATAAGTCTTTTTTGTACTTTTTTTCTGACCTGGATTCATTGGCGTTCAATGCATTTATGAATTTTTTTTTAATCATGTCCCTGTACAGTATTTATGCCCTTAAAGTGCACTTTTTTTTTATATTATTATTATTATACAGTATTTATAAAGCGCCAATAGTTTGCTCAGCACTGTACATTACAAAGGGGGACAGAACATGTGACAGAACAATAACAATACAATGCAAAACATGAGGGGATCGAGGGCCCTGCTCTTTGGAGCTTACAATCTAGGAGGGAGGGGGGGTGGTGGCACAGGAGGAGATAGCTGTGGGGAATGGAGTGGTAGGAAGAGTGGAGGAGGTCGGAAAGTTAGCAGGGGGTGGGGTAGGCTTCCCTGAAGCGATGGGTTTTCAGGGTGCGCCTAAAGGAGAGGAGAGTAGGTGATAATCTGATGGGTTGGGGCAGGGAGTTCCAGAGGATGGGTGACACCCTGGAGAAGTCCTGGAGGCAGGCATGGGAGGAGGAGACCAGGGAACTAGAGAGAAGGAGGTCTTGTGAGGAGCGGAGTGTGTGTGCTGGGTGGTACTTCGATATTAGGTCAGTGATGTAGTTCGGGCAGTATGGTGGACAGCTTTGTACGTCAGTGTTAGGATTTTGAATTTGATCCATTGTGCAATCGGAAGTCAGTGGAGGGATTGGCAGAGGGGGGTGGCGGAAACGGAGCGGTTGGAAAGGTGAATGAGTCTGGCAGCTGTATTCAGAATCGAATGAAGCGGGGATAGCCAGCGGCGAGGCAGGCCAGTGAGGAGGGAGTTGCAGTAGTCGAGTCGTGATATGATGAGGGAGTGGATGAGCTGTTTAGTGGTTTCTGGGGTTAGGAACGTGCGGATTTTGGCGATGTTGCGGAGGTGGAGTCTGCACGAGTTTGTTAAAGATTGGACTTGGGGCTGGAAGGATAGGTTGGAGTCCAGAATGACACCAAGTACTCTGGCCTGCGG